GCAGGCAGACGACCCGGAAGCGATTTCGAGGACAGGAGTTGGAGAACATTTCTTTTTTTTGAAGAAAGACAGAATCTTGGAATTTCCAATCTTGGAAAGAGAGAATCTCGCAACCGCTGCGACGCAGCGATTCTCCAGCTTGCCAGTTTGCCAGTTTGTTTCTATTTGTGTCAATAGCCGGCGACGGCGCGACCATTGCCACCTTCGCTGTTTCTCCTCGTGCTGCTGCTGCTTCTTCTTCTCAAAACATCACATCACCTGACCGAGATTTCCAAGTACAAGTGCGTGAAAGAAGAAGAGGATCCTCGCCGTTATCATCAACCGAGTATCCTTGGGCGATATCCTCATCCTCCAGTGCTACTCAACATCACGTAATACTACGGCAATTCCCGATCACCTTCCCTGCAGCAGTAGTGTTTGCTTCAGTAGCGCAGCAGCAGTAGCAGCAACAGCAGACTAGTCGCTCAATAGTATTTGGCACAGTTTGCACAGGCGCTGTTTGGAAGTTTTTGTTTTGATCTTTGTGTTGATCTCTGTTCAGCATCGTCATCTTCTTCTTTTACTCTCATTCACCTTACCTTGCTTGATGTCCACGATGATGTTCCCCTCTTCCTCCTTTGCCTCCTCCTCTTTTTGTTGTTGTTGCCGCTGTCTCTTCTTCTAGAAGACTGTCTCACTGTTTTTCTGGTCACTCCAAAGATTTCATTCCGGATCTTCATTCTGATACCTTTGAACCGTCGTAGTCACCACCTCCTCTGATCACCACCGTCAACTACAGCCGATGTCTGCGGCCGCCAAGCTGGGGCTGAGCGCCGCCGTGCGGGCGGTCTCCACGAAGAAGACCTTCTTCTCCAACCGAGCGGCCATCTCCCTGGTAAAGTTTGCCGATGATGATTGTTTACCCATTTTTTTGTTCTGCTTGACTAATTTCTACTTTCTCTTTCTTTCTTCTCTCCTAAACCCTAGACGCCCGCCGCCGTCAGTCGCATCAAGACGCTGATCAAGGAGCGCCCTGATGTGGTAAGATCGTTGTTCTACTTCTGTTTTGATCATTTTCGAATCTAATCATCACTTCCACCTCTTCTCCAGATCGGCCTGCGAGTGGGCGTTCGCCAGCGCGGCTGCAACGGCCTCGCCTACACCCTCGACTACGCCACCGGACGGGAGAAGTTCGACGAGGAGGTGGTGCAGGACGGCGTCCGCCTGCTGGTGGACAAGAAGGCGCAGCTGACGCTGCTGGGCACGCAGATGGACTACGTCGAGTCGAAGCTCAGCTCGGAGTTCGTCTTCCACAACCCCAACATCAAGGGCACCTGCGGCTGCGGCGAGAGCTTCACGGTCTAGAGTTAGTTAGTTAGTTAGAGTTAAAGTTAATGATAGTCAAATTCCTGTAGCAATAGCATCTCTCTCTCTCTCTCCCTCTTCTCACTGTTGATACTTTTTGTTAGAATGTTCTGATGCTGTGACGTTCTTGTTGTACTTGTTCTTTTTCTCAATAACAAATGCTGATTCTCGAGTCTTCCACTAAATTTTATGCAACATTCATTCAAACTGTTTTGTTTCACTTGGTCTTCTTTCATAAGTCTGAATCAAACTCAAAGGTGGCGCCAATGAAAAAAATGAGAGAAAAGGAAAGAAAGAGAGAGAGAGAGAGAGAAAGACTTTGACCATTTAGGTTACCTAAATTAAAAATTGCTAAACTAGCAGCCGCAGCAGCAGCAGCAGCAGCAATCTGCAACCGAGCTTACTGATGCTCAAAATTAAAATTAAATCAAACTTAAATTAAAAGTGGTTAGAAAGTAAATGTCAGCCTGGTTGGTCAATAGTGCTTGAACTGTGTTTGAACAATATATGGCTTGCTCACTGAGTATCTCATTGTGAAATACTGAAATGCGATCCTCATCAGCATCATCAGCAATGACGTGCACCAAAGCAAAGCACTTCTTCTTCCATCAGCATTTTACCACACACATACACATTTGGTTCTACTTCAAAGTTGGTAGTGTATGTTACTATACTTTAGTAATTTGTTCTTGCTGCTGCTGTGATATTAAAAAAAGCTGCGCCACTGCTTTCCCCCTTGTTTGTTACAGGCAAATTAATTTGACGCCACTGTGTGTGCTCTGGAGAACTCAAAGAGCACTCATTTCAACACGAGCTAAAGCACACACACATTTAATTATTAATAATGACAAAGAAGATAGGCCTATAGAGAACAGAAGAGAGGAGAAAAGTACTTACTGGCGCACACTAAAGTTTTTAATTGCCTGATCAAGTCAGTCAAATCAGCGAGTGGGAATCAATCAATCAATCAATCAACTGTTTTATTTGTTTGTTTGTTTGCTGCTGCTGCTTCTGCTGCTGAACATCATCATCAAACTTGCCATTTTACTATTTATTTATGAGGTCACCAAAGTAGCTAGCTACCAAGCTCAGAAAATTGGCTAATTAGGTCAGAAAAAAAGCTAATAAGTTTTCCCGTAGCAGCACTAGGAAGAACTGAAATTGTAGGAAATAATAAAAAACTCTCAAATAACGTAAAAATGTTTTAGACAAACACAAGGAAAAAAGCTTTAAATGTCAAGCTAACTCATCATCAAGGTTACATAGAAAGAAAGAGAGAACAGGCACACATTCCATTCCTCTCTGAAGGAAAGGACAGTGACACCCTCGTCACGTGCTCTCTCTTCTTTTTAGAAGTTGAACGTTATGACCTGACAGGCCAGGGCATAAATTGTCTCAGCTTTCTCTTTCTCTTGCTCAATCCTCTCTTTTTCTCTCCTTTCCCTCCTGTTTCTCCTAACAAAGTGTCCATTTCAAAGTGTGGGTTCCAAAGAAGACTGGTGGTGGTAGAGTACGTGGTATTGTGCAATTGTGTTTTTGCAGAGTAAGAGAAGAGAAAGAGAAAGAGGAGACGTCCATTTGCATGCAAATGGCCTTTTTTTGGCAGAGTCAGACAAACAGTTGGCACCCTAGGCAATTAAATTTCCAGAGCAGAGCTCGTGGCAACAAAATTGCCAAATGTTTCTCGCTTTCTAAACTTTTAATTGCTCAACAAACACCCCCCTTCCCTCCCCTCCCTTTTTCACCCTTTTCTCCTACTAAGCCTTTCAAAGTTGTGGCCTCAATATTTTACGATCAAACACTGCAAACATGGCATTTTTTGGCGCTCATTTCATTGAAAAAAAGTACTAAAGCATAACGACGAAGCTTTTTGGTCTGAAGATGATGGGGACAAGACAGAAAGGGCAGTAGGCATCTTCTTTTCATCTGTCTCTCCAGTATTGTATTGTAATGTTTGTCCTCATTTGTCCTCATTTGCCATCTCTGCGCGCCCAAGACAATCTTTACGACATCATCAATTTACTTGTAGGTGCAGAAGAAGTAGTGCGTGGACTGTGTGTGTGTGTACTTCAGTCAGTCAGTGGTGAAGTGAAGATACAACAACAAGTGGAAAAGTATCGAGGTCAGCACCGTCAGCACTGCTAAAAGTCCTCATCATCGGTTCCCTCTCTCTCTCTCTCTCTCTCTCTCCTCTTTCAAATCCCAATCCCTAGGGACATTTTCTCAGCTCAATTTAGCAGAAGCAGTAGTAGTGTTTGCCCATCACCAAAAAATGATTGGCAATATTGAATCACAGCATAGGCCACAAGGCGCCCCTCACTGTCTCTCACTCATAATCATAATCATTTTGTACTCTTATTTATTTTTAGCAGCATCCCTGCCACTGGAACTTAGGTAGCAGCTGCGCCTAATTTATTACTTTATTGTCTTCTTCTTCTTCTTCCTCAAAGGCGCTAGAAGCTGACGATGCTACTGTAGCGCCGAGGGACGAACGGACAAACGAACAAGCAAGAAAATATAAGAAAGAAAGAACGAAAAAGGATGAGAAGAAGGAAAGAACAGCCACTTTTTTGCACCACTCGCTTAACTAGTGAGAGAGAAAAACAAACACACAGTCAGTCCAAGTCAGTCCAAGTTAGTCCAAGGTAATTACATAGAGAGCTCCGGGAACACAACACAAAACAGAGAGACAGATTTGAACAAACGACTTTGACAAAGAAGAGGAGGAGGAGGAGGACAGAAAGCTAAAACCATTACCATTAAGTGAACAGTAGTGGCAACCCGATTTGCTGCTATAAATTACCACTGCCAGTAACCCTTTTTACCCAAGCTACTAGCTACTACTTCACTATTCAAAGTTGAACATCGTCATCTGCTGCTGTTTTTTCTGCTGCTGCTGCTAAAAGTGTGTCCATGTAATCTTTTGCACTCATTCCCTCTCTCTCTCTCTCTCTCTCTCTCTCTCTCTCTCTCTCTCTCTCTCTCT